AGCTTCACGAATAATGTCGTAATGGTCCACGATACGTCGGGAACCTCATTTTGTTCGAATTTTCACAAGGGATTCCACTAGCAGTTGGGTTCCGCCCATGAACTCACCTCGTTATCCACATCCGTCCTCGCTCGAATCCATGCTTTCTCGTCATCAAATCTTTACTTTGTCTCCTGGAACCCGCCGCAGCCTGTAGAATTGTGCACTTCATTTTGAGGGTTTTTGGTGACTTCATACCTTTTTTCCTCCTTGACGGTCCATTTCGCATCTCTACTGTGCGCATAACCAATCTAGACCCTGAGATATGCCTTCAATAACGATAATCCTTACAAGTCCAGGATCCTGCCCAATCAAAAGCTTACCCTAATATCAACTTTTACATTTTCATTTTGCGCTCATGTCCTTGGAGGGGAGGGGGACATTCAAAACAGGGATGACGGTAGGTGACACTAGGACCAAGCCCAGGAGAGGGAAGAATCGTCAAAGAGAACACCATCTGCTCAGATCCTTCTCTAGCCTTCACTCTCCGAAGCTTAAAGGAATCTTCCACGGAAAAAGCTCCGCCCTCATTACCACAGAAAACGATACCTTAAAGGAATCTTCCACGGAAAGAGTGATCATTTTGTCTTGTGTGTAGGATTAGTATTATCGAAACTAACGCTTATGTTCCGTTCTTTTTGCTATGCTCATGAGGCTAGGGGCCTAAGGTATCGTTTTTCTGTGGTAATGGAGGCGGAGCTTTTTCCGCGGAAGATTCCTTTAAGGAAGGGAGTACTTCTGACCACCAGTCCAAGTGCTGTAAGTGGCTCACCCTCTTGTAGGTCTACTTCACCCCGCCAACGGCATGAGCGCCATTCATTTTTTATTGTGGCTATTTTTGATATTTAATTCTCTATGAACAGTGGAACTTCATTCATGGTGATGCTTTAACACGTCATCGTCGAACCCACTTCAACGTCGCCAATGTTCTCGAAACTTATCAGCCACGAGCCAGAACCGAAGGACATCTGTTTCAGGTGCGTTGCCTAGTAGACCGTGTTCGTTTCTGGACATCTTTCTTTGAACTCGGCCCTCTAAGCCGCCTTCCGCAATTGACGCCCTCTCGCCTGACCAGCGGCTCATGACTTCTGTGATCTCACACATTCAGAATTTACCACACTATCATTGGCTAACCCGCCCCGAAGTTCCCCTTCCCTCCGGTTAGTCTAGGAGCTCTCACCTTCCTCCTCGACTTGGAGCTGAGTGTTCTCTCGTCTGTGCTTGGCCACTCGCTGCAAACAATTGAGTGAACTTCAAGTACATAGTTCGTCAATCGTCAATTTTCGCTTACTGTACTTATACCCCGGGTCCTCGAGAACTGCCATAACCCTACCACATCCTCTCAGGAGCAGATCTTTTCCTACATACAACTCTTTCAAATAAAAAGCTTAGCATTTCAGCCAGAACCACCGACACCTGGCGATGTGGCAGTAACACACTCGAGCGAAGAAGAAAGCAAGAAAACTGCTTTCACAGACCAGCGTGACGCGGTACGGACGTGCTTTTTTCAATGATTAACCAGGTTTTAGCAGAATTTCGTTTCTTGTCCTTACCTCCTCTTTCAGCATTATGCCGGAATGTTCACGATTGCGATGCAGAGAAACAAAGAAATGGAAATGATGGATAAGGTAGGTTGAAGTCATAAGATGAATAGAAACCTTTTCGACCTGGATTCACCACTTACTGGGCGCGCCATGTATCACACTTCTATCTGAAATCGTAGCGCTGCTTGAACATGACAATACCTAGTCTACACTGATGAGCAATTACGGTGGCTAAGCAGCA